CTTCAGCTCAAGACGGAGGCGGACTACTTTGAGCAGTACTCACCCTGCCAAAAGGGCAAGGTTGGTGCGGGGCCCGCCTTCAACGGGCACTACCAGAACGCATGCGTGCAGGAAAACCGGCCCCTGAAATGTGTCCTGAACAAAGAGCTGACACAATTCTGCCAGCAGCGCCTGTCCCACTCCGACCCCCTGTGCAGCAACCAGAGCGCAAACTGCATGGAAAGTCACATGTTCACCGGAGGGGCCGATTCCCTAGATCACAAGGGCTACGCAAATCAGGACTACAAGTTCGGCTACGACTTCAAGGGGCATGGTCTGCTCCACTCCATCAAACGTGAGCCTATGGACTCACCGCCCTGGTCCGACAGCGGCCATGACCTTGACCATGTGGCCGTACACAGGAACATCATGTCCAACTGCGTCATGACTGCAGCGCACAAATCAAACCCATATATATATATGCAATAAGCCCGAGAGCTAAAAGTCCTCACAGTAACAAATGACACAGGAGAGAGTGCTGATTACGTGATCAAGTGAACCTCTTAGGTTTAAGAGTACGTCATTGCCAGGGGCCCGTAAGGTGGGGGAAAGGTAGGATGACTCCAAGGGCCCCTGAGTGACAGGGGGCCTAGAAAATTTGGAAAATGATTGAATTGGTCTGGACTGGGGGGCCCAATATGATATGCCTTCTTGGGGCCTATAATCTCTAGCAACACCCCTGGTCATATCATTGTCACTAAAGAGTTATCAGTTCGCTCATTGAAGATTGTTAGACAAATTTATATTTAAAAAATAATGTTTTTAGTATAAGCACTTTTGGAGGAAATAACGAAACATATTTTTCGATTTATGTGATGTTTGTGTTCAGATTAATTGACCATATTTGAGTGTTTATTGTACAAAGGAAAATATGTCAGACTGTTATGTTTATGTCTGAAAAGTAAAAAATATATATATATGAATTGTACATAGCAAAACAAAGCAATAGTTTTTTTTTTCTTTAACCTCAACCTTGAAGGTCAGGCAAAAAATAAACATACATAAAAATATGTAAGTGTTACTTTCAGCACAATGGTTCCAGATCTGTAGCAAAATCCTGTGAAGGAATAACTTCATTTTGTATATGTTTCCAAAACTACAATTTATAAGACATGAGCCATATTGGGGGGGGGGGGTATTTTTGAAAAATTAGTGTGAAAAAAGTTTTTTCTGCTTGTCTTTCAAGTTTTTCAACTGATCACTAACCATGCTTTTATTTAAAAATTCTAAAATTATATTTTTTAAATATGCAGTCCAAAATCGTGTGTTTTGCCTTGAATTGAAATAAGTAAAATGATTTACTTATAGCTTCTAAACTGTTTATATTTGATTGTTCTTTTAGTTAAGTCATCTATTTGACAATTATTTCGGAGGTCCGGCAATGAAGAAATTGTAAAGGTTGTACCGTGTGTTGACATTCAGGAATTGAACAATGGCACTGAAAAAAACAATAAATACTTTTAGGCAGACCTAGCTGGTTGAGTGTTGGAATAAGAAAGTTGGCTTTAGATTCAAGAAATGTGATTGCTACCAGTTTTCTGGTGATTTGTAGGACTGTAATAATGTATTATGTAAAATATTTCATGAAAATAATACATGCTACTGCTATAGTTTTTGTAGCAATACTATTGCAAAAAAACAAAAAAACAAATTGAATGTTGAGTGTGGGTGAACTGGCTTATAAACGAGTTAATTTCAATTTTGTTGCTGCCGCATGAATACTGCATTTTTTTAAATCTAGGAGAGTATATTTGTTTTCTTTTGTATATAAAAGTCTGAATCATATAAAATAGTTCTGTATGAATTCTGTTATGTTCCTTACCAGTTCTGTTAAGGTTATTGTTTCTTTTAGTTTAATTAAATGTTTTTTTTCCATTATACAGAATAATACTTTGCAGCCATTGTTAAACTCAAACGAACTAAAAAAAGACTCCTGAAAGACTGTAAATTTACATCAACTGATACACTTTTTCCACTTCATCTCTCGCTAAATTCTCTGCTAAAAACATGCCTTAAAATGTATTTTGATATTTATGTTTATATAGAAATTCACTGAATCCACTGCCTTTAGTGTGTAAGATCTTTCAACATTGTGGCATAGTGGTTAAAGTTCTTACATGGACTTACACAAGGAAGTACGTGCAGATATTTGCGAATATCCATTCATCTTCTAACCACTTACCCTGGTTGCGGTAATGGAGGATTTTAAAATTTCACATCGCTGAAATGTATTAATAGGCCAACCCAACTCTGTATAGATTTTGACACAATGTCTTTATTTTATCATTTTAGTGTATATTGCAAAGGTGTTTGTGAGTGATCATTTCAGAATGAAAGTCACTGTGTGCTACTGCTATCATGTTTTTGACTTGCACTATGGGACTTGGTTGTTAATCATACTGCTACCTAGACGTAATGTCCAGTTGACATGCAGAACTGTAAATGTTGTTTTTGTCATTTAAGTTGTTTTACTATTGTCTTTGTAAAGGAAAAAAAAGTGATGAGTTTACGTCCTGTGTTTTGTATTTATTGTCTAAGTAGACATGTTAATTTAAAATAACTGAATGCAAGCTTAACGCTCATTCACTGTAGACAGATATATCGTTTCTGTCTTAAAAACACACGTTTAACAAGCTCTTCAGCTAACTTCGTAGCTGCAAGGCAGCGACTATGTATTGCATTTTTTTCCTCAATATTTTAAATTCTTTTTTCAAGATAAGTCAATAAAAAATCATAATGGAACTCATTATATATGTTACTTATTTTTATTTTCAGTAGTCTATTTCAGAAGGTACTGACATCTGCAGTTTCACTCGCCTTCAGCCCAAAGCCTCATGGGATACACTACAGGTATTTAGTCATGGAAAAAAGATGGATCAATGGTTAGATGGATAATTGTGTGGATGGATGCGATGTCTGAGAAGGTGAAGGTGACACTGCCCATAGTGTACCGTGGTGCCATACGTGGTTAGATACCTGAAATCCATGATGAGCTCCGAACCAAAAAAAATAATCCCTTCAGCCACCCCTGGTCACTAAAATCTAAGAAGGGAGACCCACCCCCAACTGGCAAAGTCTAACCATGGGGAATCCCCCTGCCCCCTTTAGGTCGGAAAAAATCCACTAAGGAGGACCTATTGGTAGGGTTGCTGGACCCCTTGAAGACATTTATTTCTGGTTACGGGTGAAACACCAGAGCCAGTACAGCAGAAAAAGTCTGCTGTACTGATATGAGGCTCCGTATGACGCATCTCTGGAGAAAACAGCGGTTTTATGAGTTCCGAGATGGAGAAACCAGAATGATTCCTTTTATAACTGTATGTAAAATGATGTAAATCATTCAGCCTTCTGAACAATCATTCTAAATTATTTAACCAAAGTCTTTCATTCACCAGAATTAAAACCAGCAGCAGCAACACTTTGAACTGCAGCGCGTTTTATATTAAGAGCAAGGATCTCCAAAAAATAAGATATAAATTAGGTTTTAACTAGAGTTCATAAAGAATGAAGATCTACATGCATTTCGTCCTCTTCTCATCCTTGTGCAGTGCTAAGACTCTGTTTCCTGTCCTAACGGTGCAAGACTGGCGTAGAATTTGACAAAGAGGGGTCAGAATTTGGAGTTTGTCTTAATCTTTGGGTTCTGCAGCAAATTTGTTCAGCGGCTCATAATTCCTCGGATGACAACATGCATTTCAGGACCAACACAGACAGACATGGCTGCACTGTGTCAGTCGAACAGATACAATCCCCTTAAGGCAATTACTGGCAGATTTTGACCCATAGATAAACAAAGACATCACAGGCCTTCAATGCCTGATTTTTTTCCCATAGTTCCACAAAATTTAACTTTTCAGGCTTAAGTATACAGACTCAGCAATTAAGAGCCTTATAAGAGCAGATTCAGCTTTATGAACTCTGGGTGGCACGGTGGCTTAGTGGTTAACACAGTTACCTCACACCTGCAGGGTTTGTGGTTGAATTTCACCCCTTCCAGTGTCACACTGTATTTCAACATCCTCTCCCAGTCCAAAGACAGACAGTTAGCCTACCTGGAGACTAAATTACCTGTAGAGTAGAAGTGACATAAGCTCCACCCCTGTGGCCCTTTATTGGAGGATGATATAATATTTAATTTTACTTCATTTTTGAATGACAGATAAAGTCAAATAAAATTAAAAAACTATTTCTGCTAGTACCCCATCCTGGACGTTTGCCTGCTTTGTGCCCTAACCATAATCCATGCTTAAAAACTGTGAAGCATCCCATAGTAACATCAACGTTAGCTTCTTTTCGTCATTGCCGCGTTGCTAAAGGAAACGCCAATACTACATGCGATTACTATAGAGGGTAAATGGCATGTCATGGCCACCATATAATATTTAGTCTTTGTGGGTCAGGCTTGTTCCTTATGTACAATGAACATTTGGCCTGTAAAACAAGGGAAGCGAATGGCAGCTACTCCGGGAAGGGGGGGTTTCCTGCTTTCGTGATAAATGTGGCGTAAATTTCATTAGACGGTCCCTTCGCACGACCTCGGTAATTGAAAACCGATTTCTCGATGGGAAGTATCTTAACAGGGACGCACCTTCTTAATCAGATGCAGTACGTGCAAAAGCGGGGCGTATCGCATGAATCAAAGCCAGGCCATCAGAATAAGTTTATTGGCACTCAGCGTCTGAAAACATGTTGGCGAGCCTCCTAAAGTTTTTCTTTTAACACAAAAGTGCAATCCGGGGGAAATCAGGTCGCTCACTATACCAGATACGTGCATAGAAAAATTCACATGCTTTTACAGGTGATAAAAAAAACAGCTCGGACAAAATAGTGCGTTTCTGGTTATTAATGAAGGCCAAGGGGTGAAAGAAAAATTGGCTTGTCCACAATGAACCAGCTGCTTAAACACGTGGAATTCCAAACACTCTCTGACTGAACTACAATTCCCAGCATAAAACGCTTCGACTTCCCGAAGTTCCGGAAGTGTGTTTTAACTTTTTTGGGTGGTGCCCAAATCCGCCTCCCGGAAGAATAGTACATTTCAATATGTAGGTGACCCGGTTATATCAAAATATAGTGGGTGATTTCAGGTAGGCATGCCCCCTATAATAGTTTTGTTTAGTATGTCTTATCTGCGTAGCAAAAAAGACTCATGGGTACCTTTGAGTTGTTTGGTCAGCTAGTGCTTAATCTTTTGGGTAGGTGGCGTTGTTCTCTGCTACTAGCTACGAAGTTTAGCGATTATTGGCGATTTTCAGATTGACAAATACGATTGTTGTGAATAGTTGTAAAAATGTGTACCGATCTGTTGGCTGCACAGTGTAGAGGTTGCACGGTCAGTTGCTGTTTAAAAGAGCCATGGTGATGATCACTGGATATTTTACCTGTTCAGGTCTTTGAAGTTAATGCTTAAGCTCAGGTCGAAGATTTCACACAAGGTTACGGCGGATCGGAGCATTTCCGCATTTTCAGTACGTTACAGTCGCAGTCAACGAGCAACTGCAATCTGCTGAATAGTGACGACTGCATGAGACTCTCTGACTTAATGGGAAGTGCAAACGTGTCACTACCTGTTAGACACCAGCCAAAGCTGTATATGCCGAATCCGGGAGTATTTTCAGTGGGTAGTTAATTCTGCTCTGTATAACAAACAACGAATATAACATTTTTGCTTAATGTTTTACAATAGTTAAAAAAATCTTAATCATTTCATGATTGAACTTAAAGAATAAAACGTAGAAAGAAAATTTTAGTGTTCCTAGCAGTTCATAGACAGAATGCATTAAACATAAATATATAGCTTATAGTGTGTGTGTCTGTGTGTGTGTGTGGTTATCTGTGTGTATTTACTGTGCAGAATCTACATCCAGTCGTATATGTTTTGATAACCAAAATTTAAATTTGCATACTTTTGTATATTTCGTGATTTAATAAATTGCTAGTTTTGTTTTTGTCTGGATCTGAAGGTCTGTGGTTGCCATGGAGACGGATAGAGAGGTGGTTGCCATGGCGGTGCAGAGAGTCGCCAGCATGCTGCAGCGGCCCGACCAATTAGACAAAGTGGAGCAGTATCGCAGGAGAGAAGCCCGCAAGAAGGCTTCTGTGGAAGCTAGGCTGAAGGTAACCGAGCCAACGTATGCGCACATGGCCGTCGCAGTACATAAGAGCAGTCACCATTTGGCAGGGCAGCTTCCTAGGACCAGTTTGAAGTGTGTGACTCAGCCCCTGTCTTTTGTCCTGTTTTTAATGTGAAAATCCCAGGCTTTGCGGCTCAGCTCTGCCCCAGGGGGGGATGGAGTTTCAGTTCGCGTGACAAGGGCTCTGGCGTAGCCTCCTCCACCCTTTTGTTTTTCAAACCAAAGATATCCGTGGTAAACACACAAAACCGCACTCTGTCTGTTGGGATGTCTATTTTATAGCTTTGCCTGAAACGAGAATGTCTGTCTGGGCCGTAAACAGGAATACGGCTATTGGTCATGAGACTTGACAAAGCTGTGTGCTGTCCAGTGGCACCCACACAAAAGACTGCCCCCGTGTATCAAGGGATACTTTTAAGTCTGAGGGTGCCAGAGCGCCACATCGTTTTGACTGCTTTAGAGCACTTTTCAGAGCTCTCAGATTGCTTTTTCCCTTAAATCGCAATAAAAAACAGACCACAGGAGCCATTAACCTCCATGTCAAGTCTGAATAATCGAGCTTGGACATGGCTTCAGAGTGTAAAGTTCTATATTCAAGACTATAAGTATTCATAGCTGACAAACAGGGCTGATCTTTTTAAGAGCTATCGGGACCTGCAAAAAAGTAACATCTGAAGTTAACAGAATTATTTTATTTTTTTTACTTCAGCTGTCCGATTGCATACGAGTATTTCTTCAATGTCTTTTTACTCATAACTCATAACGTTATATACTCATAACTTTTACATAATTTGTAGCCATTAAGGCATTTTCTTTACTATTAAGAATGAATCGTTTAACTCTGACGTGAAGCAAGTTGGCTGGTAAATTCCACATTGGACGTTTTTAAAAGTAACCATATGTCCCAAAACCTGTTTTTGTCACATTCATTCAGCTTCTTATTTCAGGCTGGGTTTTCTTTGCAATGCTATATTCAGGATGACGTGTCTAAATATGGATGAACTGAATTACAAATGAATGGAAATTAGATATGGAATTTAGTATATTAATCTGGGGCTGCTTGTCTCATTCCTTAGTATGCTGAATTGTTGACGCAATGCCAATTTTTGCTGTGGAGTATGATTATCAGATAACAAACAAGACATATTTTGTTCTCCGGTCAGATCCTGAGAATTAACGTAAAGCTTTAAAATGAAGCTTCACCTTGCAATTAGCATCTCATATGGAAAAGTATTGATTGCCTGTTGTCTTGGAAGTATCTGAAAAAATTTCTGTTAGACCAGTGCCACTGTGCAGGGGTTCCAGGCCATACAGGGAATTGATTGCTAAATTTGCTAAAGTGCTGCTAATGTGTGTCCGAGAGATTTTAGCTTTTTACACACCAGTGACTCAACCCAACATTTGATTGGCTGAAAGTGCCTCCCATGGTCTTACTTTTAGGCCTATATCCTGCAAGGAGAATAGAGGTGGATGCAGGCCGCACACCTAGTTTGTTGAGATGCACATTGTTGTTTTTTTTTCTGTCTACCACCCACCCCCACCCCAGGCAGCCATCCAGTCTCAGCTGGACGGGGTGCGTACCGGCCTCTACCAGCTCCACAATGCCCTGGGGGATGTTAAGGACATCCAAGGCTCTCTGGCGGATGTCAGTAAAGACTGGAGGCAGAGCATCGACACAATCACCAGCCTGAAGGACGTCAAGGATGTGGTGGTGCAGCACAGCCAGCTGGCATCGGCCGTCGAGAACCTCAAGAACATCTTCTCCGGTAGGAATGCAGGCTTCTGGCCATCCGCGTCCACCCATGAAATTTTGTGGCCATTGGGATGCTTTCCTGAATTGAGGATTGTGGGAGGTTAATCGTATAGTAGATTTGGCTTTATCTAGGAGATAGCTAGCAGAAAGCATGGAGTAAATCCGTCTTTTAAACAGCCTGAATCGGATGTAACAGGATTGACAGTCTGTGTAGAGTTTAATGTATTTGTGTACTCATATCCTCCATACCTGCCATCTCTATTGCAAATTAACCTTTTTAATTCAGTTTATTGTATTGTTTTGATACTGTAAAAAACAAACAAAAAATTGGGTCGCTCCCTTACGTATCCCCAGGTCCTAATCCTCAGTTTCCCATGAATTGCTTTTGCCAGATAAAGAGGTAAAGGTTAGTAGGTTAGATCAGGATTTGTGCGGAAATGCCAAGTGCAGGTTGCAACTCACAAAAACGTTTATTACTTGCGGTAATAAAACGAATACGATTTGGATTCACTTCCAAATCCTGTAATATGAACTATGTGTAAAGCTATCTTTTTACACATAGTAATTTGCTTCATGTTTCAGTTATCGTTAGAAATGCTTCCACAACATGATGGATACCACCCAGCTAAAGAAGGCTCGTTTCGGTGCTTTGTGGTCCAGAAGCAGGTTAAATTAAGCGAGTCAGCCAGAGCTGATCCATCTGGGGCCTCATATATATAGTCCAGCATTTGGGTTAAAACCAGGCAGAGTTTTGGATTCCACTAATGCTTTCAATCAGGTCTGCACTGTGCAAGGTGCAAGACCAGGGGTGGGGAACCTGTTCCCTGGTGAGCTGGTGTGGTCTTTTGGGATGACTTCTCAAAAAAATAAAGCTGTGGTTCTCAACTCCTGTCCTAGGGAGCCACTGTGATTGGCTAATTGAGAGGCCATCCCAAAAACCCGCACCCTCACCAGCCCTCCATGGATCAGCTTCCCCATCCGTGATCTAGACTCTCACCAGAATGTTTACATGTCCAGAAACTGATGTATGTAATTCTTCACTTTGGTTGAGGAGCTGTTTACTGGGCTATCAGTGACATGTTGGATGGCTGTTCATACATGAGGACGGAAATGAGTGGTTTACATTTACTGCCTGTATTGGGTTGAAAGAAATGTGTACATGCGTGTGCAAATATACGTGTTACTAAGCAACAGCATTAAATTCCTTTTTTTTTTTTTTTTTTTTTTTTTAATGAGACTGACGTCCATTTACCTTTGTTGGCAGATATCATCTGAAAAGCCAACAAGACACTTATTAATTAAACATTAAAGGATCCTCTTTTTATTGAAAGAGTCGATTATCCTCTTCAGGTTCACATTTGTACTGATGTGTATGTACTGTTTGATTATTTCTCTTTTTAAATATGTAATACTCAATTTTGGCATGAAGTTAAAGACCGTTTCAGGCTGACTGACAGGATGATTTTGATTGGTTAATGATGTTGTTGTTGTTGACTTCAAGTAAAATAATCAGGTAAACTACAGTTTGCCCTAGACCAGGGTTTCTCAACCCGGTCCTCGGGGACCACCAGACGGTCCATGTTTTTGCTCTCTCCCAATTCCCTGCCAATTGGGAGAGAACAAAAACGTGGAACGTCTCGTGGTCCCCGAGGACTGTGGACTCGAAAGACATTTCACATTCTTGCTCCTTCCCAGCTTGATGCACAGCTGAACAATCCAGAATGCCTGCTTCACGTGGGCTGGGAGCTGAGAAGGAGCAAAAATGTGGCCTGGCTGGGGGCCCTGAGGACTGGGTTGAGAAACTCATTCCTAGAGGTTCCTCTCGGAAGTGTCCTGCTATATTTCATCTCTCTGACCGCGTCCGCACTCTTGTCCCTCAGTGCCGGAGATTGTTAAGGAGACCTGTGAGATGATCGAGCAGGCTGAGCTGCTTCAGGCCCACCGCAGGCTCATGGACCTGGAATGTTCTCGTGATGACCTCATGTACGAGCAGTTCCGGCTGGACAGCAAGAATGCGCACGACATGAACCTGATCCGCAACTACTTTGGCGAGGTGCAGGGCCTCTCTGAGGAGCTGGCCAAGCAGCTATGGATGCTGGCGGAACGCGGACTGGTCACTGTGCGGCGCGACCCCACCATGCTGGTGTCGGTGGTGCGCATCATCGAGCGGGAGGAGAAGATCGACCGACGCATGCTGGACCGCCAGAAGCAGACGGGCTTCATCCCGCCGGGCCGGCCCAAGCGCTGGAGGGCGCGCCTCTTCCAGGTGCTGGAGGCCACGGTGAATGCACGCATCGAGGGCTCCCAGCCAGAAACGCGCGAATCTGACAAGATGTGGCTGGTGAAGCTTCTGGAGATCACCAGGAGGAACGTGCTGGATGACCTGCTGGTGGTGAAAACCCTGATGGTACAGTGCTTCCCATCAAACTACAACATCTTCAGCGTCTTCTTCAACCTCTACCACCGCGGTGTGTCAGCCTGCGTGCAGGAGCTGGCTGCTGAGGAACTGGAGTCCAACGAGATCGTCTCTCTCCTCACCTGGGTGCTTAACACCTACAAAAGGTACTCAGCGTCTGACTGACGGAGGGATGGATGGATGGATGGACGGACCGATGGATGGACAGAGAGGGGGAGGGAAGGAAAGAATGATTGATGTGATGTGTGCCTGCAACCATATGGTTCAAGATTCAGCAGATCATGTAGCTAGAATAAAACATGGTTTTTCAAGAGTAAAGTCTGAGTTCCAGTGGGACTAAGATTGGAAGAATCCCAGAATGTGACCTCCGTATCCGTCTGGCGTGACTCCCGTCTTTTAGCGCCGAGATGATGGGTCACCCCGAGCTCCGTTCCGAGTGCGACGTCGAAACGCTGGAGCCCCTCCTGCCTCAGGATGTGGTCAGCAGGTTGCTAAGCAAGTACATCCAGACCTTCACGGTGAGTCGCGCCGCCATCCGCCGACCACCCCGATCCCCAGCCTCCCAGAAACCCCTGAGCTGTTGCTTGATGTCTCGCACCCAAGCTCCGATTCTTACTCCCCATCTGCTGCCTGAGGGTCCCGCAGACTGGCATGTAGGAGCAGACGGGCTTAGCGTAAGCTCCTGCATTAAAGCAGCCACACCTCAGCCGGCGATAAGCACACGGCCAGGCTCCCGTCCAGCAGTAAATGCCCATATAATCCTCTAGGGGGCAGCCTCTTACCTAAGCACATTTTCAGCTTGCATATAATACATTCCGGTACTTCAAAGGTGCATTTCTTCAAAAACAAATTTAAACACCTATACCATTACTGGCCAGCCATTTTTTGGCACGGCACACGGTGTCTTACCCAGGACACGCTTCCTTCCTGTACTCTTAATCTTAAGCCGCTATGCTGTATTTTTTTATATCTGTATTCTCAGATGTTTTTCAAGGAACAAGAAGTCCATCTGAACAGATACTTACTGATAGTTACTGAACATTAACTGCTAAGGTTCCTGGACAGTTTAAGAGCAATGATTGTACAGTCATGAATAATGTATGTAAGAAGATATATTTTGCTAGGGCTGCAAACAATAATAATTTGATTTCATGATCAACTAGTCAATTAGCTGGGCCAAAAACACAAGATTTAAAGAAAAGTGCAACTCCTTTACTTAAAAAAAAA